CCCCACACACCCGCCCCCTCCCCCTCCGTACAAGTCTGCAAGGGGGTACATATCCTGACGCATTTCTTCAATAGAGCTGCGTTAATGGATTGCCCGAGCCAGTCCTCTTAAGGCGCGCTTCTCATAAAATACACGAGGTGCTGGGGCGCAAGGTGGCCAATGTTGAGTTTAAAGCGAGCCACGTGGCTTTGGGATTTTTGAACGATTTAAATACTACACGCGCATCACGTTCTGCGGCGTCGCTTAAAGCAAGCGCCTTAATAACAGACGGGTGTCGAGATCATATTATCTCCCCCCCGCCCTCCCTCCCGGGGGGGGGGGTGGCTGCGAACCGTCTGTCAACGGAGCGAAGCTCAGCCCACTGACGCCACAAGCGTCCGCTGGAGACGCGATTACGACGACACCCGTTAACGCACCGACCTACCTGCCCCGAGCCCCCGGGACCAGTCCGGTCTCCACGCCGTCAAGATGGGGGGGGGGGGGGGGGGGTTTGACCTCAATGGGGCTTCTTATCAGAATGGGGAGGGTTGAGGGGGCATAACCTCTATTATGGATGATATTGTTCGCGAAAGCCTACGTGTTAAACGTTGTTACAGGTTACCCGTGTGGACGCACCGCACACCGAGACCACGCGTATTAAGTTAAAACCCGAAAGGTCTTTGTTATCGCGCCGCTTGCGGTGAGCGAGCGGAGCACGTAAACAACCGTTCGATGGCTCACGGGTTTTTTTGTGCGATAAAAAAAAGATGTTATAGCACGCGTCCGCTTTGGAATAATTCGTTTTTCGCTTCACGCTGCGAGAATTTGGGGTTCTGCCGCAAAGACAGCGCGGCGCCACGTGCGTCGTGCTGAACGTCCGCGATGTGCGATTCGGGTGGTACCCGCTGTGTTTGCTCGGCACGATGTCCGACGTTTCGCTCCACGTTCTGGAAGCTTCTTCGGCACACAACAAAGTCTTGCAGCGCGTGGAAGAGAAGTCCACATCACGACCGCGAACACCGACGCAGTCGTACGTCGATCCCGTTGTTTTCAACAAATCTCTCTACGCTAATGACGTTCTCACGTAGGGCTTGTGTTTGAAAAAAAGACTCGGACACAGTGACCGAGTGTGCGGGCGCGTGGAATTGGTGTGAGCATTTCACCGCAAGAGTGGCGACAATTTGACGACACCCCCTTGTTAATGTCTCTCACGTGGCCTTAACGCAGAGAGGGGTGGCGTTACCCACGGCTCACGGATCGTCTCACAATGGCATACGGTTCACGACAACACGAGGCCTTAACCCCTTTCAAAACGGCCCGCAAAAAAAACGATTCATCCGTCACGCCACTGCAAGCATCCGAGCAAAGCTGATCGGGCTACTAAATTATATTTTTTAAACCGGGAAACAATAATATTTGTACGTCCTCCTACTCAGCCCTCAGCAGGGAAAATATTTCCCACACCTGCCCTAACACAGCTATTCCCCTACGCAATAGGTTAGTTTAACATAGCCCTCATGGCCACCCTAAATTGGCTCGGGTTTAACCATGTAACATTAACGCTTCCCCCTACTCTCCTCAGCTGCAGGGCATACTGTGCGTGTTTCGTATGTGTGTGCAGCGGTCGTGTAGTGGTTAGCACTCTGCCCTACAAAACTTTTCCATCCCAGTTAGTTTCCGACTCGTGGGCAACATCAGCGGCAACTATCGGAACCAATTCTGAGCCTTCCCTAGGTCAACTCGTACCTCCGATTAGCACGGTTGGCTACGTAGGGTGCTAAAGAATTTAAACATACCAACTCGGTCTTAAAATTAGTACCTGGCGCTGTGTGTAAATGTCAGCACTGGGTAAATAAGAGTGTGGTGCAGGCCACGCTGACCTAAACTATAAACTGTTATTTTACCAGCTAAGGCACACTGAGATCTTTGTTGAAAGCCACCTGGCCACAATAGCTCAACGAATTGGTTTATCACGTGGAAATTTATAGCAGTCAAAGATTCTAAATGCATGTTCCTGAATGTGGTGGGAAAAACTGGAGAACACGGAGAATAACCACACGACCATGGGAAGAGACATGTAAGCTACAAATATACAGGCGTCGGGATCGAACCCCATCGACCTTCTACATACCAGGCGAGGTCGTTAACATCTCGCTACCGCAGCTCAAAGGTCGCAACCGGGTACCCGATACCCGTACCCTACCGGATACCCTGCTACCCATACCCGTTTGCGACCCTGGTGCGGCCGGGTACGGGTAGACCGTGAGTCACTGGTGAGTAACTGTTTGTCACTCATTTCCCAACGTCTTGTCTCTTCTCACAATTCAAGTTCCTAGAATCAACCCACCCGCCCCTGCAACATGGCTTCATCCCAGGGGTCGCAATCAGGTACTGGATACCCGTACCCTACCCGTACCCGGTCGGGTACGGGTAGGGTACGGGTACGGCCGGGTACGGGTAGCCGTTTGCGACCCTGGTGCGGTCGGGTACGGGTAAGGAATCAAAACCCGTTTGCGACCTCTGCTGCAGCTACCCCTACATGTGCTTTCGGCCTTGACAAGTGCTTGCTGACAGCACTTGCCCCAACAGCCTATATGGCTATGAGGATGGGGGGGGTTATTTGTCTTTGATAAAAGGGGCAACCGGGATATAAATTTGGCCATGGCGTTGCTCGCTCTTGAATACCGGGGCCAGGATTGCAAATTGAGATGCAGTGCCCCGCGTTCATGACCGTCGCCTGGCATTGAAGCCTCGTCAAGAGAGAGAGAAAAAAATCATGACAGTGAAACGTAAACGCTAGGAGGGAAATGAGCTAAACCGACGCGTTGGTGGTTCGCGAAGAATAATTGAGCGGGGAGGAGAAAGCTTTGCAGAAAAAAATAGGGCGTCCTGAAATAGGCTCCCATCCTGCGTTTAACTCCCTTAATAGTGATGTCCATCAATTTCTGTGCACTTCTCTTCCCGGATAGACGAACAGCATCTCATTGAAGACATCTTCCCATGAGTAACTTTTACCATGGGCATTCCATCTCCATTTAATTTTGGCCAGTTTACCCTTCATCAACCTTGTGATGCCGACAGTATGCATTTGGCTTTAAATTGTACACTTGCATAACATTTTTGTCAACCCACTGCCGCACAGTGGACCTAACGATGCCGTGTGGATCCGTGGGGGTTCTGTTGGCACAATTCAGAATTCTGGTTGGCAAATGGTGGGAGCATAGACGTTTGGTTATTGGTACAATACAATAACTGATTATGCTACACCGTCTTGTGCTGACAATTTAGCACTGCAGCAGTTTACACCTGTTTTACAAAAGGTGGACGCCAATTCAACTACTATCCAGGATCAATCCCGCTTAGCTTTTGAGATTTGACATGGGTTTCATTCAGTCTCACGAAATCAGCGAAGCGAATCCTTAATCGGCACTCATTGGGCATTATTATCACCTAGATTAATGTAATTATAAAGGATGAACAATCTTTTTTTTGACGCAGTATTTCACACACAATACCTCCAAAAATTACAAAACATCCCCGCGGAGATGGCCGCTCCGCAACATATTGCCAACAGCTGTTCCACTTCAATAAAGATCTCCTTGGCACGGGCCGACACCCATAATCAATGATCACGAAAAAAAATGTACGCGCGCCAATTCGTTTTGGCAAAGAAGGGGGCCGCTCATTGCTCCACCCCTTCATCTCCCGGCTCCGTTGCGCACACGCGCCTCGTTTGAATTTTTATTTTCTTCAAGCGACCAAATCAGGAGTATCGTCATCAATTTACGGCCAATTTACGACCGCGACTTTTCCCTCCTCCTTGCTTGCGGTTTCACAACCCACGGAATGATCACGCCGGGAACGTTTTGTGGCGGCAAACGACACGAAGTGAAATGCGGCGCTACAGGTATGGACGGGGGGGGGGGGGGGACAAGAGAAGGGATGAGAGGCGATAGGGAGTGGGAGGCATGGGAGTGGGAGGGATGACCCGCCACACGAAGCGCTCGATAGGGAGGAAGCAGCGGTGTTAATGATTGTTCTCTCCCACCCACCCAAACAACCCTCCCGTGATTCTACGAATTGTCACGAGTTAGGATTACCATTTAATTCAAGAATCAATCGTCCCAATTTTAATGCAGCGGCCTCGAGTGAACAAAGTGGGCCATGTGAGACAGCCCGATAAATTAAAAAGAATCATCACCGGCCATGAGGTTATCCATTGCTGAAGACCTCCACATCCTTGAGGGATGACAAAATAAAACGTACACATGGGGAGAAAACAAAAATCTACCTTTGCACCCGATATTCAAAGCGTGTATTGTGAACATTTAGATTTGATATTGATTGATGAATTAATGCCGATAATGGAGATGTTCGGAAGGAGATTTGGGGCGCCACAGTGGCGAGATGTTAACTCCCTCGCCTGGCACGCAGGAGGTCGTGGGTGTTGATTCCGACCCTGACGCCTGTTGTACAGTATTTGGAGTTTAGATGTTCTCCCCCATTTCGAAACACGCATTGATAGACTTTGGCTGCTGCGATACATTTCCACGTGATACCCACTGCGTTGATCTATCATTTGTGGCCAGGCCACTCATGAAAACAAGCTATATAGCTCAGTGGGCCTTACCTGGTGAAATAAAAATATTTTCATAGTTTTATATGAATGAAGAGGGGATGTAAGAACTATTGGAATGAAGTGCTATATGTACCCACTGTATAGTACAAGATGCGTGAAAGCATCAGGCTTACCTTGATGTTAATGATATGCCGATGATAAATGCACATTATTTTGTTGAAAACAATAAAAAAATTTTGTTTACGGATGTCAGGCCGCAGCAGGGAATGTTCAAGGATATATGCAAAAATATGAATACAAAAAATTGTCATGAAAAATCGAGAGCCCTTAAAATATAAATAACTTGATGATTTGGTGGAAAATGTTCATATCACAGGTGCCGTAACACATTAAACAATACAGAGAAAAAAATCACAATGTAGTCACCTAAGAGTCAAGAATGTAGCAGCTCATAATTTATATCTCAAACACACCCTTTCTGTGCAAACAATCATTTGTATTTAGACATCCAAAATACAAAGGGGAAAAAATTACGCTTAAATCATCATCATGAAGCTTTAGGGCATGGATCCTGTGGTTTTCTCACAGATCCAACCAAAGTCACGTGTCCAAGTAACCTTTTTAACGTATCAATCACAGCAACACATTTGCTCCTTTGAAAATGTTCAAAATATGCAACAGGAAAAATAAGGAACCCTTAAGTTTCTAAGAGTCGAAGAGATAAAACAAATTGACTGTCGAACACACGCATACGAGCACATCTTGTTCCTCTCTAGAATATAGCTACAGGGGGATATGTACAGTACATTACAAAGCTGCGAGAAATTAATCCATGTGTACAATAACGATTTCCCATTTTCGTGGTCCGCTTCTTGGCACTTGTGACTGCATGAGAAAAAAAAAAACCAACACGTTTTAAAGGCAGTATTTTTTGTTTCGTTTCAGAAAGTACATTGGGAGAAGCGCGTTTTTTTTTAAAGATTGCACGGCGCACCGTCCGTTAATTCCCGTCCCAGAGACGACGTCTATTCATTACAAAACAGGGCGAGCGTTGCCACCGCAATTGTCATTCAAGTGCGGTTGCCCGAACGATGTCACGGACGCATGCGCGCTACTAGGGGAGATGGGGGGGGTGGGCGGCCCTCGGAATGGCCCCGGCGAACAGCCTCACCACATTGATTGTGCAGTGCATCATAGCGAATGTCTGCCAGGGAGAGAATGCTCGCTCACACACACACATATACACACACGTGTCACGATGAGAGCTGTCAATGACCACCGTGCACGCGTACATACATGCATGCATGCCTTGCTTGGGCGCGTGTCCAAAAAGAATTACAAAAAAATAACAGGCTTGGGTTTCTTGCAGCGATCTCACACCCATTCCCCCCCCACCACCACCACCACTCCCCGTCACCAACCTCTGTTTTCAGTTCATTGATGAAATTGCCGTTCGAAGTGTCTTGGGACAAGCTTTGTTTTAATTACTGACCTTCTGCCAAAAGCGTACCAAACACTACAGTTGCCGTGTTCCGTCTCTTGAAGCTGCCGCTCCGGTGTCACCGTAATGCACAGTGGGATACGGAAGGTTGTCGATCAAAGCGGTGTACCCCCGTGGCCACCTTTGATGGGGTTTTTTTTCTTGTTTCAGTCAGCTCCGTACATTTCCCCTTCCAAATTTTCAATCATTATTATAATTGCACAGGCCGTCGAATGTCCGATGTTTTAGTTGGCTGCGTTTCTGCAGCATCGGTTAGCGTTTTCTTAATACTGTCGATTTTAAATGAAAAGCATGCATACTCGCACAACAAACTCAAGCACTCAATAGGTCATGACAGTGAGACGAAATAAAATACATGGATATCCCAAACAACAAGTAGAAACAGCAGCAGATAATTAAAAATGTGCATCACCCAAATGGAGACTGCACCATTACAGAAATAGTATTCAAAGAAAATACTCTAGTGGTTTCTTTCAATATGCATAATAGAATAAATTAAGACTGAACCGCATTAACAATAACATTATCGCGAAGGTGCTGATTATAACATGAATTAAAAAAAAACTGAAACGAATCATGATGCTGTACAAAGGGCGAGTTTTTCTCTTGCGAGCTCTGTTCATAAACCCTCCCCCGGTCAGTTGTTCAACCATCATCAACTTACCACCTCAAATGGCAGGCAAAAACGAGAAAACGTTTAAAAAACCCCACAACAACCGATCCTCCACCAACCTAAATCTAACCGACGGCTTTTCCACATCCCACCACACAAACCTTGATCCCAATCTCGGTCACGATCAAAATGCTCCATCTTTAAAAAACAAATGCACACGTAAATAAAACCCACCAATGAACGTACCAGGCCTCCTCCACTGTTTGGTGGGAGTGCACTTGCCAATAACATCCAGCAACTAAGCAGCATTAATAACAGGCCTGACTGCTCTCTGAAAGTGGAAACCTATCCAGTCTGCCCGATTACACGTTAAAAGCCTCTGCGAAAAAACCACACACACACACGGGGTCAGAAATGCCATCAGCTTACCCTCCAATGTTATTTCCCCCCCTCAAATTTATATTAAGGGACAACCATTACCTTCTCGAATATTCGATCACCGACACATCACCCCTGGGGCTAGCGGATCTCTTTGCGCGTGGCAAAAAAGACACAAGCCCACAACGGGACCCAGACAAAGCCCACCACCACCACCAAACCACACACACACCGGAGCGAGGGCTCTCACACGACATAGTATGCCTCGTGTGGCAGGCGCGGCTTGCGACAGTATGGGATGGCGCTATACAGACAGCGCCTGAGCTCCTTGTTAGACACCAAGCACACGAAAGGGTTGACGGCGGCCTGGGCGAAGCTGAGCCACACGGCCACGCTCAGGTAGGCTGGCGGGACGCTGCACGCACGCACGAACACTCGCCAATAGCACGCAACCACATAGGGGGCCCACAGCACCAGGAACAGCAGGGTCATGATGTAGAACATCTTGCCCAGCCGCTTCTCGGTTTTGAAGTCGTCCAGAACCAGCAGGCGCTTGTTCTGACCGCCGGCACCACCGCCACCGTTGCCACCACCACCACCTCCTCCTCCACCGGCACCACCAGCAGCAGCTCCGCCACCACCAGCAGCACCTCCTCCACCGCCGGCCCCTACAGCTGCCGAGGGCCGAATGCCCACGAGGGTGGGCGGCGTGGGACCTCGACCGAAGCCGGCGATCCAGTTGGCCGCCGCCTGCCCCGTGGCTCCGGGGCCGTGGAATGTCCAGTTCTGGCTGATGGCCGGCACGAGCTGCACGGGTTTCATCTTGCGGTGGTCGTAGACGAAGAGGATGAGCTTGAGGTAGACCACCTGGGTGGCGAACACGATGACCACGAGCATGAGCATGAAGCCCAGCGAGTCGTTCTCCTTGAAGTAGCGGTGCTCGAAGGTGCACTGGCCCTCCTCGGCGATGAAGGCGTACGTGCCCACGTCGAAGACGGGCGGAAAAGCCATCGCCACCGACAGGATCCAGGCCATGCACACGATGGCGGCGCAAGTCCACGATGTCATGCGCTTCGAGTAGAAGCGGTGGTGAGCGACGGCGATGTAACGCGTGACGCTTACGCAGAAGAGCATGAAGGCGGCGTGGAAGCAGAAGAGGACGCTCGTGAAGGCCAGATACTTGCACGGCCGCGAGCCGTAGCCCCACGCAGACGAGGACGACGGGGACGAGGACGAGGAGGAGGACGAGGCCGACATCGCGGCGGCCGCTGCCGACGAGGCCGCCGCGGCCGCAGCAGCCGCCGACGATGACGACGAAGACGACGACGAAGACGACGACAGCGAGGAGGAGGCCGCGGCGGCGGCCACCGCAGCAGCAGCCGCTGAGGAAGGCGCCGTAGACGAGGCTGACGAAGCGGCGGCCGCGGCTGCAGCTGCGGCCGCGGCGGCGGCGATCGAGATGGAGGAGACCACGGACGAGGCCGGCGACGAAGCCGACGAGGTGACGACCGCAGCAGCCGCGGCAGCGGCCGTCACCGGCGCAGGCGACGAGGTGATGGAGGCCAGCACGAAGGGGAAACACACGAGGGAGCGCAGGAGGTCGGCGGCGCACAGGTCCAGGAGGAAGTAGTAGGGCACCTTGCGCAAGCTGCGTTCGCGCAGGATCACGAAGGCCACCAGCAAGTTGCCCGCAGCGCCCACGGCCACGATGAGGCCCAGCGAAGAGATCTTGGCCAGCGAGGCCACGGCGGCCGTGGTGGCCGTGGCAGGGCCTCCGCCCAGCTGCTGGAAGCTGCCATTGACCGCGGCGAGCAGAGGGAGGGCCTGGAGACCCAAGCCCAGCAGCTGGTGCTGCTGGGGCAGCAGCAAGTGGCTGGAGTTCGCCATGGGAGGGCAGAAGGCAGCTTGCTCGGCCTTCGTGTCCACCACCACCACCACTATTGCCACCACCAGCAGCAGCAGCAGGCTGTTGTTGTTGTTGTGCACCTTCTGGTTCTTGGTCGTCCACGGCAGTGGCGCCGAGGTGCGATTTGGCAAATTGGTTGTGGCAGAAATCATGGAAACTGGATTCTGGCTCGCAGCGTGTTGATGTTGTTGTTGTGGCTTCCACAGTGGTGTTCTAGCACCATTGTAAAACTGTTATATTGTTTTAAGACTGCCTTTGCCAGGCATGAGTCTCGGTGGACTGTCGCCCGGGTTTATAAATACATTTTTATTAATTCATTGCCTGCGTTGTTATTATCGCGCCTATTTTAATAATCTCATTGTTTTCCTTATCTCGGCAGAAACGCGCTCCAGTGTTTTCGGAGCACAGCATTTGTCTCGGTGGCTATTCGTCTACCAGCCTCGCCATCACGACTACGTTACCTATACTTAGACGAATATTTAACGAAATAAACCGAATCCTTCTGCTCGACCGCCACTGATGATGATAAACGACAGCAGCAGTTGTAGCAGCAGCAGCTGAAACGAAGACGGAGGCTGTGGTCCAAAAGCATCAGCAGCAGCAGAAGACGACGAAGCCGGCTTTGGTTGCGAGCAGGAGGAGGAGGAAGAAGATGATGGGAAGGAAGAACGAGGAGAGGCGAGAGAATCTCCGAGACGACGCGGAGAGGAACGCGGCTCCAACAACTCCATCACAAAATGGTGCAGCGCCAAGCGATGCCGCCGTCTCCTCCTCCTGCTGCTACCGGAGTCGCCATGTCTCGCAACAGCTACATATCATCACACGCTCTCAAGACATCCTACTCCTTTTGTGCTTACAATCCCCTTGTTGTTGTTGTTTTACTACAAGATTGTGTTTGTCGTCGTCGTCGATTTGTATGCGATAATAACAATGTTGTTGTTGTTGGCACAGCGTTGGATATTGGTGGCGGTGGTGGTGGTTGACGCCTCGGCAAACAAAAAAAAACCGATCAAAACACATTCGCCAATAACGCCGCCCTTGAAACAAAAGGGAATTAAGCAACGACGACGACGACAAATATTCTAGCGGCGGTGAAAGGTGGGGGGAGGGGGAGACGTTCCGGGCAACGGCCCTTCTTCGTGACAAGAGTGGCGAGGCGAGGTTTGCTAAATTGCCGAGTGGTGGGTGGGTGGTTGTAGTGGTGGGGGGGTGGTGGTGATTGTGGGTGGTGGTGGTGTGGGGGGTGGTGGAGGTGGGGGTGGTGGTGATTGTGGATGGTGGTGGGGGGTGGTTGTGGGTGGGTGGATGCGGGGTGGATGCGAGGCAGGCGCAGGAACGCAGCACACGCGCCTAGAGGAATGGGGGGGGGGGACGCCGCTTCCGCCTTGGGCTGGGGCGCTGCGTCCCCTCTTATAGGTGGGGGGAGGGCGGGCGCGGCGAGCCCCCCCTCTCAACCCCCCATTAGCGACGCACTTTTTATTGCGCGAGTACAACTCGGCGGCCATGTTGGGTCAGGGCGTTTGTTTGGATGACGGGGCGGTGTCGCTGCTTCGCACGTCATCCAACGCCTGCCGTGAGGTTGTGTGGTGACGTCGACTTCCCGTAGTAAGATGGCCGCCGTGACGTACCGACCCCTCCCCCCCACAACCCCTACCCCTAGGACATGCCATTGGTCGATTGTCGAAAAAAATCACGTGGACGTGCGATTCGCCCGCGTGGCCAATCAGCAGGCGCAGCCCCCACCTCCTCCCACCGGGCTCGTGTGTGTGGGAAGAGGTGGGCGGGGTTGCTGAGGGGAGGGGCTGTGGGGGGGTGGAGGGGTCAGCACGTGCGTGCTTCGTACCGGTAATTGATCTTCTTGGTTCTTTCGGTAAAGTCACGTAGAAGGGAAATAATAAAATAATAAAAATCAAACATTATTTTAAAAAAAGATTTTTATTTTATTTTATTATTTCCCTTCTACGTGACTTTACCGAAAGAACCAAAAAGATGAATCCCTGCAGTCACGAAAGCTTTAAATCGAAATTTACCGGTGATTGATTTTCCTGTTACAGGTCATACTTCCCCATCCTGGTCATTGCGGGTTGGTGAACGTGGGGAGTACAGGACGTGGCAGCATAGTTCAACAGTGGAGTTTTCTACGTATTTATAATTCAGATTATTTTGCCGCACGATAAGTCACTTCGTTGAGCTATCATTTGTGCCCAGGTCGCTTCTGAAAAAGAAGGTAATATCTCAGTGGGCTTCATGTGGTCAAATAACAAATAAGTATAGTTTCATTTGTGTATATATTTTTCAGTGATTTGTTTAACTTTCCCAAACTTTGCACTCCGATCGTGTTTTATATTGTTTGTTGTAACGTTCTTACCTGCCCCAACTGGACATTTGTGAAACAATAGCTTCATATAGCTTTATACTCTTTGGGTCTCTCGGTAAAATCACGTAGATAGAAAAATAATAGATCACGATGTTTCGATCGCAACACAGGCACCTGAAGACGATTGCCTGTGTTGCGATCGAAACGCCGTGATCGATTATTTTTCTATCTACGTGACTTCTCTGAAAGACCCAAAGAGTATGAATTCCTGCAGTCACGAAAGCTTTAAATAGCTTTATAGTTCATCGGATTCCTTCAGTATCCGTAAATATGATTATCAGCTATTACCCATGATCAATCCACTCCTGGATGAAGACCTTCCCAATCTGGTGCCATCTCTGACGAGTCTGCGATGTAACAATAATTATCAAACTGGCGTCTACACACAAACCCAGGTCATCATCGCTCCATCTCCCCGTGAGACGACGTCCTCTCGAACGAGTTGCATTCGAGACGGGAATGCCAACCAAGGAATGGGCTAAGCCAATGCACGAATTTCCACGTGATAATTGTTTTTTTTTACCCTTCTATCTGGCAACAAAATTGACACCTTTTTTTACGAGGAGTCATGTTTGCATAGACCACAATACCTGCAGTCATAATGCAAACAAAAAAACATAACTCTGATAATGTATGCACTGTCCTTGAAGTTGATTGGTCCACACCCGAGACAGCTTTCCTTAGAGCCTTTTGGCGTCATCTGGTCCAACCCATGTGAGACTAGGCTCTAAGGAAAGCTGTCTTGGGTGTGGACCAATCAACTTCAAGAACAGTGCATACATTATCAGAGTTATGTTTCTTTTTTACATTATGACTGCAGGTATTGTGGTCTATGCAAACATGACACCTCGTAAAAAAGGTGTCAGTTTTGTTGCCAGATAGAAGGGTAAAAAAAACAATTATATTTTTTTTACTGGCAAATGAGGTTCCAATGGTGAATTTCCACGTGTTCATGGCGGGACTAGGATGGTCGCTTCTGTTGACTGCCCACCAAAGCGAGTTGCAGCGTCACAAATTAAAGGGCCACAAGTTTGCATGTTGCTGCCATAAAAATAGTCTAGTTTATTTATAACCAGGTGAGAACTCGAGAGACCAGGATAGTCTCATTTTCAGGTCACATGTGGCCTTAGTCTGCCAGTAGTGGGCGATAATTGCTATGCGTATTATCCCAATTGAGTCATTTGCGGTGTAATCGTCTAATTTAGAAAATATGTAAACCTGATGCCGGCAATGGCCATATTTCACAACTCTGGTCAGTACGGGTGGGTGGAAGTGGAGAGGCATTCCACGTTGGAGCAAAGTCGAACAACAAAAGATGTAGCGGCACTGATTTGCTGCCCACAACATAGCCTCGCAGCTTGCTTTGCGAGCTGTTGTTGAACTTCTTTCGCACCGTACATTGCCAACCGTACTCATCCAAAAACTATCCAGGCTCTAAACTGCTTAGCTTCTCGAGATCTGTCCGACAAGCTCCGGTTTATTCAAGATGCTTTGTTCATAGGGTATTTTTTGTTGAATGCATTGGTAAATGGCACAGATTTGAGAGCGATGGTGTGGGTGTATTTTAAATGTTTGTGTGTGGGGGGGGGGGTGTTGAGGGTGGAGGTATAGTGTTTAACTCACTCGGCACTATCCATTCAAAACAAAGGAACAATTCCTGGCAAAGGACTTAACTCCAGTGGAGGTGGAGTTCTTCTCAGTTGGTTCAGATTAAAATGAGCAGGTTCTGCAGTGGTGTAATGAACATGAGGATGAAGGCTTGTTGCTTTTGACATCATCACATCGCGTGCCAAGCAAGCATTAATAACTCATTGTGCCAGCCTTAATAATTAATAGAACATGCCTTCAGGGAGCTGATAGTGCCAGTCTTAAAATTGAGCCAAGTGTGCTATCTTCATAGTAGCTATAATTATCAGCCTCAATAGCTAGGAATAACAGCATGAATATGGCATATTAATAACAGCCTTAAAATAATAGAATGTAATAATACCATGTTTAAAAGGAGCTAATATATTGGCACCAGCCTGCTTCTTTCGTATGGTTGGTAGTTGACCAACAACGTGTATCTGGTCCTGTCGAGGTTGGTGAATGAGTCTGGACGGAATCAGGTGCAGACTGGTGAATATCTGACATTGCTGCCAGCCAATGATTTAAGCAGGCAGTGCGTATTCTGCGGTCTATGGTTTTGAGTGAGATTGGGGTGACCCCAGTTGTGGACTATTGCCAATTTCCATCTGTGTAGGATGTTTGATGCTGGCGGTTAAATACAGATTCATTGCGTACAGACAAGTTGAAATGTGGAGGATATTTCATGGAGGATTGGCGAATACGCGCTTGGTTATGGACATTGGCATTGCCTCAGGTTGCTCAGCATTTCTACGAGATAGTATGTAGGGGATAACAGAGCTAGTCTTAATATCCTTAATAGCAAGGTGTGTCCCAAAAGTACAACAGACCGTTAAATTGAAAATTAATGTGCAACTTCAATGCAGTAATGTCGCTTACAAAAGTGTTTTTTGTCTGTTATCCCATTTATCATCAACTGTAACGATTGTGAAATTGAATCAGGGTCTGCAACTAGGAACTTTGTAAAACAAATATATCGCGAAAACCTACGTGTTAAACCAAATATATAATAGGTGACGTTTCGGGCAATGACCCTTCATCATATGACATACCCAAAACATTGTCTATTTCAATTTAATTGAGTGTCTTGAGTTTTTTTGTTACAATAATTGTCCGTGTACACCACTGCCAACGGAACATCACCAGACAACTTGTTGCCATTTCAAACGGTCGTGTAGGCAGGCGTCTTCCTACATCGCCTGTTTAATTCCCATACTTTTGGGCTGGGCTGTCCAGGAAAGATGGGATGGGAAGGTAGTCAAATCTCGGGACATCTATCTCAGTCCTGTCTGTACTCGATTCAGACGATGGGTCGCGATTGACTGAAATAGCTCAATAATTGTAAATGAAAAACAGAGGCAACCAGCTTGCTCAATGTTTTGTGCAACGCTTAAAAAAACAGCAGGAAAGTTAGGGGCACGAAACGTTAACTTAAGTCTTTGGCAAATAATAATATATCCCTCGTCTTCTCTTAGGCTATTTGGTTTTTAGTCACGATTCAGGGTCAAAATTCAATGATGGGTTCTTCATCGTCTTGTTTGTAATGTGTTTTTTTGTTTGTACCTTCTCATTTGTACTGCGTGTGTACGTTATGTCTCGGTTTGTTCAGGCTCGCTCTAAGTGTCTCTTATGTTTGGTATAGTTACGTCTATCTAGTACTGTCTCCTTTGAATTCCTACTATAATGAGCCAAGAATATCTGTGTGTAACGCACGTGACGTCACTCTACATGCCGCACCTCCCGTCATTAATATTCATGAGCGGGTGGTTTTTTACATTCACGCAGAAGGTCGAGCGGAAATATTTTTTTTCGCAAATTCGCTTTAAGTTTGACGTTTCTTTCTTGAAAGTGAATCTAATAAATAATTCTACACAGCAACAAAGTGGATTTGGTGTCATTTATTTCTTCAGCACTTGAGACAAAAGGTAAGTCTAATTTATGCTTCTACATGATGGTAAAATAGACATTTCTCGGTGACTTTCCAGATATTGTATCAAATTCCAATTTATTTCAACCCCAGCGACCGAAAGCAAAAGAGAATAAAGTATCAGAGCAGTGAATTTGAACAAATTGAAGGTCAGTTAAATACAGTGCTACAGTGAAATGCAGTGATGTGTTTGATGACATACTTTCGTGCAAGATTCACCGCCATTAAATTTACACAAGATGCAATTATACTCTGCTCAATTTTTTCGTAAATATTGCAGCTTCCGTCCTAGGATGGGC